TTTGTCTTGACCGGTGTGAAGGCAGCAGTAAAAGATAGCAGTAAAAATTTCCGATGATACCCGAACGCCCATTGACGTCCGTAATACCGGACACACGGGGTCTCATTTTTTTCGAACAAAAAAACATTACATAATCAACTTAAGTAGTTAATTACAGTATATTAAAAGTAATTAGACAAAATTAAAATATATTTATCACTAATATCAAGGTACAATCAGCAATTTTAATTAAAATAACTGGCGAACATCAGAACCAAACTTTATATACGTATTCTAGGCATGATAAGAAATTCATCGAAAGAAATTCCACTTGCAAAGGGTCCGCGGGGGTGAACTACCCACCAATAGATTATAATGTGCTTTACCTCCCTTATTGGTTCGAAGATCCGAACCAAACTTTATATACGCCTTCTAGACATGATAAGAAATATATTTGTCGAAAGAAATTCCACTTGCATAGGGACCGCGGGGGTGAACTACCCTACAGTAGATTTTAATTACCTATTCGGTCGAAAATCCGAACCAAACTTTACAGAAATCTTGTAGACTACATTAGAATCAAATATCCGTTAACAATTTTCACTAGTGTAGGGACCGCGGGGATGAACCTACCAGTAGAATTTATATTTTTTATCCAAATCTATTTTTTGTCATAAAATTTTTGTTTTCATTGTTTCATTTTTTGTTTTGTTGGTATTTTTATTAAATTAAACCTAGTAAACCAAAAGATTATCAATCGGAGTTAATTGTAAAAATATTTTAAACGAGAAACCGTCAAAATGTCACGTCCAGTTACATGAGACACCCGTATAAGTAAAATAGCATAGTAGATTACACATATAGGTAGTAACTATTTAATATACATTAAACATAATATTTTATATTGTATACAGTGTGTCCACGGTAGGTTACACGACTCTTATAAAAAATATTATCAATTTTTAAAAAACAAGTGAGGCTTGACAGAGAAAGAAAAACTCTTTTTGTGGCAGCTAAAGTACCTTTTCTGTTTACAGTACGTGAAAGTGTTACTAAGAAGTTTTGTTCAGAATGAAAAACTATGACCATGTGCAAATTTTCGGAATGATGGGACAACGTTGGTAAAAACCCATATATGGAAAAACAAAATTACTTTCCTGTCAATGTTAATCTGTCAAACTGTAATTTAGTAAACTTAAAGTGTTTTTTAAATACAATGTTAATATTAGAGGAAAAAGTTTACGTGATTAGTGTTATGAAACCGGGGAAAAATCGATAATTATGGTTACTGCTTTATTTAGTGAAAAATTTACAAATACTGTAATTAAAAGAAGTACTTGGCGTTTAATCAAAAGATTTCTTACAGCAGGAAGTGTTCACTAAAGGAAAAAAAAAGTTATAATGAACCTGATTAACTGTTAGCTATGATTAACTGTTTTCTTTTGTGGGCGCACAAGAAGTTTTCGCTTCAGTATCAACACTCACTTTTTTTTTAAACTTGAAAATATGTTCAAAATAAGTCTTTAACCAAGCAGGGCTAAACCCCAAAAGGTGACAATTAATATCGAAAAAATTTTACATTTTATAAAAGTTGTTTCATCTATCCTGGAACACACTGTATATTAAAATGCGATGAAATTTCACTCTAACCACAAAAGTAGTTTTATAATATTAAAATAACATACATTGCAAAACTGTTGAAAATTGTTAATAGATATTTGATTCTAGAGTAGTCTAGATGAATTGTGCAAAATTTGGTTCGGATCTTCCACCGAATAAGGGCGGTAGGGGTAATTAAAATCTACTGGTGGGTAGTTCACCCCCGCGGTCCCTATGCAAGTGGAATTTCTTTCAATAAATATATTTCTTATTATGTCTAGAAGGCGTATATAAAGTTTGGTTCGGATCTTCGAACCAATAAGGGCGGTAGAGCAAATTATAATCTACTGGTGGGTAGTTCACCCGCGCGGTCCCTATGCAAGTGAAAATTGTTAACGGATATTTGATTCTAATGTAGTCTAGATGATTTGTGTAAAGTATGGTTCGGATCTTCGACCGAATAAGAGAGGTAGAGGTAATTATAATCTACTGCGGGGTAGTTTACCCCCACGGTCCCTATGCAAGTGAAAATTGTTAACGGATATTTGACTCTAATGTAGTCTAGATGATTTGTGTAAAGTTTGGTTAGGATGTTCGACCAAATAGGAGCGGTAGGAGAAATTAAAATCTGCTGGTGGGTAGTTCACCCCCGCAGTCCCTATGCAAGTGAAAATTATTAACGGATATTTGATTCTAATGTGGTCTAGATGATTTGTGTAAAGTTTGGCTCTGATCTTCGACCGAATAAGAGAGGTAGGGGTAATTAAAATCTACTGGTAGGTAGTTCACCCCCGCGGTCCTTATGCAAGTGAACATTGTTAACGGATATTTGATTCTAATGTAGTCTAGATGATTTGTGTAAAGTATGGTTCGGATCTTTGAACCAATAAGGGCGGTAGAGCAAATTATAATCTACTGCGGGGTAGTTCACCCCCGCGGACCCTTTGCAAGTGAAATTTCTTTCGATAAATATATTTCTTATCATGCCTAGAATGCGTATATAAAGTTTGGTTCTGATCTTCGAACTAACACGGGAGCTGGAGCCAGTTATTTTAATTAAAATTGCTGATTGTACCTTGATATTAGTGATAAATGTACTTTAATTCCGTCTAATTACTTTTAATATACTGTAATTAACTTCTTAATTTGGTAATGTAATGATTTTTTGTTCGAAAAAGTTGAGCCCCCGTGTGTCCGGTATTACGGACGTCTATGGGCGTTCGGCTATCATCGGAAATTTTTACTGCTATCTTTTACTACTGTTTTCACACCGGTTTTGTCTTGTGTATTTTTAATTTTTTTTTGTGAAAGGCGTGACAATGTCAAAAAAGTGTAAATTTGAAAAATCGCAGCGAGGGTATTTATTGAAGTTAGATAATGATTTATATCTTAAAATAAAGCTAAAAGATTCTGGTTTCCGATGAGCCATCGTCATATGTAGAGTTTGGAAAATTGGGAAAATATATTTGAACGGAAAGGATGTGATTTAAGATTGCATCTTTTCAAATCATCTCAATTTGCATATGTATTTCATGTCCAAAAATAAAATAAATGGATTGTAATTTACCTTGTAGCGCCTATCTTTTTAATCGAGTATCACTCTCTGGTATAAATTTGTCCTTGACACCACATCTGGGTAATGTCATTACAAATTTAGTTTGTTCATTCATTTCACCTGTTAATATATTAAAAATCAAATATTGTATGTAATTATAGATCAGTTGATATGATTTCCAATTTTTATATAACGTGTACCTGTTAAATCGATTGGTTAAGTAATCTACCAGAATTCATATGTGAAAGATAACCCTAAGAAGAAATATTACTACTTATTTGTGTAAAAATACAAATATTATTTTATTCATAACCTCCAACCGCAATTTAGAAATTATCTGCTGATTACATATTTATTAATATCATTTTGTCACCATGTATTGCTCGTATTTTCTTATTCGGATTCAATAAATTCGACATAAAAATTAATCAAATTAATCAAGTTAATATTCAAAGAGATTAAGTATTTTTAAAACAGAACTTACCATAACTTCATTAGATCCTAAAGACGCGGCTTTTGAACCGAAAATGTTGCTAAAATAAACAAGAAAAATCGAAAAAATGTTGGTGATTTTCACTGTTGACTTCACAAATAAACATTGAAATAATCGTAAGAATATTTTGTTCTTAAATATTTGGGTTTGGTTGTGGTTGTGATTTATTAAAACTAACTGTGCATGTTTGATTATTACGTATTCCATTGTCCAACGATTCAGTTCTCAGGCGTACTATAGAAATGTCTTCTGATATAGAGAAAAATGTATGCTTTTAATCCTTCAGCTGTGTCCCATACAATAGATGAAACACAGTCTTCAGTGTATGCTGTTCCAAGAGAAAAAGACTCCTCGGGTACAGTGAATCTGAAAACAATGCCACCGTCTCTTCCTCGGTGGAAATAGTATCATTAGAAATACAAAATTCTCATGTACATGAGTCTCCAGCATCAACTCAAAACAGTTTCATCCAGAATGGCAACGAACCTTTGTTTGATCACATCAAAACAAAAACGCCCGCAGAGTATCAGACGTAATTTACGGACTTCACTGTTTTGAGATTCGCAGAAAGAAAAGAAGAGAACAATTTGATACCCTACTATACTTATACTTATTACAAATTTAGTAATTTTTTGCGTAAGAATGAGTTTTGAGCGTGAAATTCACAGAAAATGTTTGATGATATATCCGTCTAGAGCAGTGAAAGGGTTAATTATTTATTCATGGCTAAATCCAAAAGTCTCGTCATCTTGTTATCATGTTCTTTCGTATTTCTTCATTTCGAACTTGTTTCTGAAGAACGTTCAAACATGATAACCGAAACGTCAAACAGATTTTCAAAAGACTCATGCTGCTTTATGAGCAGGATATTAACAAACAAATCAAGAATTTTGGCAACTTACGGATCAAGGACTTTGGCCTTCCTATAAAGATGCAGAAAGATGAAAATAATGCCAGCGTTTCTCAAGTTGAGGCACCATATCGACTCTACTATGGCACGAAAGATCTTGATTAGGACAAAACAAGCAAGAAATGTTCATCAAACTTGTAGAACAAAATTTTGTTAGGGTGTCATATTTAGGACAAGGGGCGGTTAGGGGTTAAATTAATACGTATTAATAACGCCGAGCAATGACATATTTGTTATACTTAAATGATTTTTTTAAATGGACAAGTTAATGATACAATTCATCATGAAAATATGAGGATTAATGATACAGATAAAGATTTAATTAATAAACAAGATTGTAAAGAAAATAAAAATAATAAAAACAAGAATTTCAGTATCAGATTGACGGCGACGGCGATAGTTATAAATAAAACCGTAACATGTTACAGATAAGTCATTTATTATTCATTAATGTAATGGTGAAGATGAAGACCTTCTTACTTATTCTAATTTTTAGTCAAGTTGCCAAAACACAAGTGCACTATTCTCCAATTTTCATAAAAACATTAGTGAGTGACATTGCCGAAATTAAAAAATCTATTTCCGAGTTGGGTTAGTATTATTTACAAATTGAATAAATTTTTCACATCAGTAGGTTATCTTAAAGTGTCTTAATGTTCCAATTAACGATGTTTTTTAACGATATGTTAAAAAATAATTTTAATGATTATTTCTATTTTAGGAGAAAAAACAACGAGGTGTGATGAAATTGGTTCATATCAACCTTTTTTTCATACATTACTCAGTACTCTTCAGCTATCGATTAATAAGTTATCATTCCTTCATGAAAAAATAAGCATTATTAGCAAGTAATAATGAACATTTAATAATTACAAAAAAATATATTGTAGTATTTTTTTTATTCAGGGTTGAAACTAAAATAAATGAGTTAGAAGAAAAATTAGAACGTTCACGAATCAATAATAAATTAGAGGAAAACAAGCAAAATGAAGAGTTAGAACAAGTTTTAAATAAATTAAATAATGTTGAAAACGTTGGAAATGTTTTAAATGAAAATGTCAAATCTCAAAATTTAAAAATTCAAAAATTATTTGATGGCTATAATAAATTGAAAGTAGCAGAGGAAGAGTTTCTAAAGGTTAAATTCAACGATTTACACTCAACACTGAATCAAACTCCGTCAAAACTTGATGACAAATCAACAAAAATTAATATAAGAGAAAACTCCGTTAAACAAATCAATAATAAGTTTGAGGAAAATGAAGTTTTCGAGAAAGTTTTAAATAAAACAAATAAAGTGGAAAATAACACAGAAAATTTAATAAATTCCTTAGAAAAGAACGACATTGAAAACGTTTTACGCGAAAATTTTAAATTTCAAAACGTGAGTATACTATTATTGATTGAAAAATGTAATAAGTCAGAAAATACGAATAAAACGGAAGACAGAATTTATTTTACCAGAATGTTTTGATTACACATCTTTAAATTCAATTAAAAGACTTTCTCTTACGTCTAAGTTTTATGCAAGTTTAGACAACGCTACAAAGTTATGCGAAAACGGTTGGTTGGTGATTCAAAGACGGGGTAATTTCCAGTACCAAGAAACTTTTTATAGATTCTGGAACGACTATAAACATGGTTTTGGCGATTTAAGTAAAGAATTCTGGATTGGAAATAATTTCATACATCTATTATAGCATCAAAACGAGCTAAAATTGCGAGTAGAATTGGAAAGTTTCGATGAGAAGAAAAGCTGGGTCGAATATGGAACATTTAAAATTGGAAATGAAACTGAAAATTATCGACTGACAATTGGAAATTATAATGGAACAGCTAGCGATTCTCTTTCCTATCATAATAACATGAATTTCACCACCTTCGATCATCAGGACTCCTTTTATGATAAATGTGCCAGTATCTATAAAAGTGGGTGGTGGTTTTATTATTGTTTTGAAAGCAATTTAAATGGATTTTATTATAAAGAACGAACAAAGTCTCACGAAGGAGTGCGTTGGGATAGGTGGAAAAAAGAATCTTTGAGGAAAGCTAAAATGATGGTAAAACCAAAAAAAAATTCTAAAATTAGGTTTTCTTTCTAAAACGTAAGAATGCGTTTCCCCATTTCTTTTATCTATTAAATTCATTGTTATCAACGTTTTATTTGATCTTCTAATAGATTTTATGTTTTTAGTAAACAATTAATAAAATTAACATAATAATTATTAAAAATATATAAATGCTTAATTAATTCCCTTTTTAACCCAATACGACGCGACAATTAAAAAACAATCGTAAACATAAGTATACAGTTTATTTATTATTAACTCTACATTAATTGTATAAATAAAATATTAAAATTTATATTGGAGTATTTGATAGACTAAATGTTTATATGTATGTTTATCCAATCTTTTATTTATTTATATCTATAACAAAATTTTCAGGAGAAAAATATATTATGTTGATATAACACTAAAAATAAAAAATAATTAGAGTGCGTGATGCGCTACAATAAATAAAGTTTACTATTCGTGCTAAAAGTGAAAGTCGCTCAATTTAGAGATCGATATTTTTAAAGTTTGATGTAATCACTAAACATTTCTACGTAAAAGCCCGTTTACACGCTCAAGCCATTTGCGCAAACGAACAGAATAAAATAATAATAATAACATTTATGCAATCATATGGGCAAAGCCTTCGACAAAATCGATCATACTATTCTTGTACAGAAACTTTTCTCCTTTGATATTCCAGATGATCTTGTTCACTGCATTATGTCGTATTTATCTAACAGAAGTCAGCCGGTCAGGATTGGTAGCTTTGTTTCTGGTTATAAATATTATACAAACCTATAACATCCGGTGTGCCTCAGGGCAGTTATCTTGGACCCTTACTATTTGTAATGTACGATGTAATGTCGTACATAAACGATATTTCTTCTTGTTTTAAATTTTCTAATGCCTAATTACTCTATGCCGACGATAATAAAATATTCTCAAGGATCGGATCTAATCTGGACTGCCTTAGATCCCTGTGGTACGCCACTTGTAACATGAATCTGTCTTGACTTCAAACCACTTAACTCGACGTATTGTCTGCGATTGGATACATACGATACTAGGAGTCGTGTGAGAAAGTGCTCACATTCAAATCTCCACAACTTTTCGGCCAACAAATCATGATCCAAGCAATCAAAAGCCCGAGAAAAGTCGGTGTATATCACATCCACCTGTTCTCGACAGTTTAATGCATTCGATACGTACTGAGTGAAGCTGAGTATGTTGGTGGCTGGAGATCTACCTTTGCAAAACCCATGTTGTTGATCAGATATAAGGGCCTTAGCGTAAAATTCGATTTTGCGTGTTACAATCTGCTCAAAAAGCTTGGAAAAATTATTTATGATGACTATAGGTCGATAATTCGTTACGCAGCATCTATCACCTTTCTTAAAAACAGGGCAAACATTCAATTTCCAGATTTTCGGGAAATCAGAATTTTTGATTATTAAATTGAAAATATGCCGAGGAGACTGTAATAATACAGGCGCACAGGTCTTTGACTATATATGCGGGGATACCATCTGGACCAGTCGTAGTTTTTGCCTTAAAATGTCTTAAAAGCTTCCCCCATCTCATCAGGACTTACTTCTGAGAAGCCGACAGAAACGCCATCCCATCCATCAGCAACTTGGGCACCGTTAGGATTCTCAAAATGATCGGCGAACAAATTAATCACAGTCTGCAGATCGAAAAAAATGTCACCATCGTATTTAAGAATATTTGGTGAGACAGCACTGTTTCTGGTCTCATTAACAAACCTCCAAAAGCTCTTTGGCTCTTCCTTTATTTTTTGCTCCAAAGATCTTACGTATTCTCGACGGTCCTCACGCATATGTGTTTTACAGTCCCGGCGGAGACGGACATCTTGTTCGATAAAAGGACTTATTGGTTTGTCTAGATAATTTGTGGTAATGTTTTTTTTGTTTAAGCATTCGTTTTAAGGTAGAGGAGTACCACAAAGGATATTCAGTTTTTATGTGTTTTCTGTTGGTTTTTGGAACATACGCATCCAAGACACTATACAATGTTGTATAGAAAACATTACAGGAGACTTCAACTGATGATAAAGACAGCAAGTAATTCCAATCAATATTTACCATTGCGCTGTATAGGTCGGGCAGGTTAGCTCTTTTTAAGCACTTTATACTGGGCGTCTCGATATATGACTTGAACCGTTGACGACTGAGGTGCAGGCATATTTAGAATTCCCAACAAAGCTGGATGATAATTGTCTTCGCCAACCAGAGTAAAATCGGAGTGTATCACGTCAAGACTTATGTGTGATGAAGGAAGAATCAGATCGAGTGTTCTATCTATGATATTACTCACGTTGTTCAATTTTTCAAGATTATTAAAACTAATAAAGTTAAGAAGGGTAGCACCTCGTTCATCGTTTATGATAGCAAATGATGGAATATTAAAGTCTCCCAGGATCAAAGTATCTAATGACATATCGAGTGATGATTCAATGTGATCAAATGTACGACCATACATTTCTCCAGGTGTACCAGGCAGGATGTAGAAAACAACAACATTCATAACGTATTTTGACTTTTTAAATTCAACTCTTGCACCTACCAAATCAATTAATTCAACTGAGCAAGAGGTCACCACAACTTTTGAAACAGCAATATCACTATCGATGGCCAATAATACTCCGCCACCTCTACGAAGCGGTCGATCACATCTAAAAACATCGTATTTGTTGGGGAAAAGCTCACGATCAAGAACTGTTTCTTTGAGCCATGTCTCACTAAGCGTATTTTAGTAGTATAGCGCATACTGTGTCCGTTGGGAGGCAGCTAGCTTTTTCTTTTGACAATTCGAGGATGTCCGTTAAGGAATTGTAAGCGCAGGTCCTTTTCACCATTCTCAATACGAGACTTCAACTCGGTGCGCATTTTACGCTCAAACTCTTGTTGTCGTGGAGTTCGATCAAAATTAATATAAACATTTTTAAAATTCAGAGAGTTTCGCAGCCCCTTAGCACGTCTTAAGACCATATCCGCTTCCGATTTATGCTCAAATACCACTTTAACAAGTCTAGGCCGCGTGTGTGTAGGTGAGAGTTTTCCCAATCTATAGACCTTCCCAATAATGTTTGGGGATTTTCCAACAACATCCTTAAGTATGGCCTGAACCGCATCTTTGAGTATGCTATCTTCAGTCTCAGCAACATTTAAGATTATTACATTTTGCGCCCTCCGTTCACGGTCATTAATCTCATTAATTATTTCATCAATTGTGTTCTCCTGAGGTGACACCTTTACACACTGTTCATTTCGTAATTCCGACAACGAATCGGATAATTGTTTCATTTGAGTCATAAGATCGTTTATGGTAGCTTTGAGAGCCTGGAGGGGGTTATCGCAGCTTGCACACGCATCGCAAGTCCATTTAAAATTTGCAAGCGAACGCAGAAAGCGCATATCGGAGGGTGGTAAGCGTGCGCAAGCGTTGGCGAATGCATTATTACAAATGAAACACAATACATACTCGCCGTCTTTGCATTTCGAGTTACAACACTTACAATGAACTGGCATGATTATATTTCAATTAGAGATGCTAGATAAATTTACGGGAAAGAAAAAGTTTTTACAAAGGGCCAGAGAAAAAGGAAAACAAAAAATAACAAAGGTCACAAATTTCACTTCGACGGGGCCCGTCGTGGAGACTTTGATATAGATACACACATAAGTTTGTCCACGGTCGGGAGCAAAGAAGAGGATTCGAAGTAAACGTAAATGAAACCAGTTTCGAAAAAGATACAAAATTCATATGAATCTATCAAACAGGCCAATCAAATAGAGACTGTATTTAAGACAAATAGTAAAATTTTAAGACACAACGTTGAAGGCCTACAACTCCTCAGGTGTACAACTTAGTATAGAGATAATTTGCGTTAAATAATCTTAATTTATTGTCCACTACATGTCCCTACTCTATGTCGGTTCTTATGTGAATCACCCCCTTTTATAATAGATATACCGTATGTTTAAAAATTGTGTTCGGATTTGCCCACTTATAGTTCTCATCAAGATAAACAAAAAGGTCTTAGTAAACCTAGGTCCTAAAAGCAGTGGTTTCGAAGATATAAACAATTCCAGTGTTATTAGTGAACGAAATGAGTCTTGGTCTTCAAAAATTTAATTAATTTGGGAAAATACAAACAGAATATAAAACTGAACACAAAATGCTTAAAGTAAATGCTCTGCATGACCTGGAGGGACGTCATGTTTGAAGACATGCTTGACATCTTCGTACAAAAGAATCGCGCACTCTTTCGAAGACTCCTGGAGATTGGCGAATCTCACATGCGTTCTGTATTCTTTGCTAGAGATTCTCCAAGTTATTAACAGGTGCTGAATACACTAATGATTTTAAGTAATTATTGAACCTCCTCTTCCTATCCATCTACCATAAAATTCAGCATTAAGAAAATTACGAACAATGATCGCAAAATGTGCAGGAGTACCACATGCATGAACCATATTTGTAATCTATCCTGGAGAGGTACATATCGAATAATATCGGCAGTTAAGCGATTAGGAAGACTGCAACATCACTTCACAAAATCCTCTTCACGAAACGTAGTCAGGAGTCACAAGTTCTTGCACTTGTTCTCCAAACTAAAACTAAAACTAAAATTCTCCAAACTAGAGAGGCATTAACGTTTAATGGAGCAGAGATCCTTCTTACACTTGTACCTGGTT